TACCTAGAAGACCTTCTCGACGAAAACCCGCGGGCCTTCCCTCCGAGTACATGCCGCCGACGAATCCCCAGTGCCAGCGCTCTCCGGGGCCACGCTTCTGAGGCGTGTTTTTGAAATGGTGCATTGTTTTCTTCAGATGGCCACCACGTTGTCATAGATTCACCTGGTCGCCCGCGGCCTCTTGTAGGGTTTGGTGTATAGGTTATTATTGTCGGGACGGCATTCGGAGCGGCGTCACGGGACCAGGCCTGGTACATCTTTATTTATTTTTCTTCCGCCACTAATAGAAACCACTTGATATCCTTTCTCTCTCTCTCTCTCTCTCTCTCTCTCTCTCTCTCCCTCCCTCCCTAGCCTCTGTTTTGCATGTGCGCTATGTGAAGGGCATTGGTAGCCGTCGCATCGTCAATCAACCTCATCGGACATGTGGACGTGCAACATTTTCCAGCCCTCGTCGAACCTCGTGAACTCTGCTTCGCTCTGCTCACCGCTTGAGCTTGTGACACGCCGCGGAAGGTGCCTGCATGTCTGGCTCACAATGGAGTCCATGTCGCACGCGATCCGAGACATGACGCACCACCACCAGTCCAGGCTACTGCCGGATCTCCGTCCAACGTCGCACCACGCTTCCTGACAGACCCCGCCGCGGCTGCTTAGGCCCTGTCCCCTCAGCGGACGCGAGCAGCAGTCCATTATTTCTTGACCTGTTGGTGATATCGCAGAGTCATATCGCGGGCATCACATTTATCGTGAAGGTTAAGAAGCCGTTAGGTCCCATGTCAAGATACCTTTCGTATTTCATTGTCTTTTTCCTTCCTATTTTCCAAATTACCAAACGCCAAACCACTGAGACATGACGCAGCCAAATGCAAGGGCTCCTCCGAACACCTTTTGAGATCAATAATGTATGCAGAATGTGGGTGGCCGGTGCTCCAGAATCTGACCGCCAACTCCTCGTATATGTTGAGTCGCTTGTCTCCCGACTAGACAGGCAATGTTCAGAAATTTTCTTCCTTCTTCCCAGCCTCGAGCGACTCAACGCCCGCCTCATGAGCCGTGCCCATCTCGGCGCTGGCGCTTTTAATGTCCTCGACGCGTATGCCGCTTCGGTCACACATGCCTCTGAATATTCCATCCCGCTGCCAAAGCTCGAGCGGCGTGCCAAGCTCTGCGATGCGTCCGGCGTCCATGACGCAGATACGGTCGTAGCCAATGATAGTGCGCAGCCGGTGAGCAATGCTGAGGAGCGTGCGCCCACGGAAGCCCGTTGCGATAGTGTGGGTGGATCTTGTCGTCCGTCTCCATATCGACAGAGCTTGTAGCCTCGTCACAGACAATAATACGGGGCGCCGCGAACAAGAGCGCGTGCTAATGCCATAAGCTGCCGCTGGCCGAGGGAGAAGTTGAGGCCATCCCTCCTCGACAACCATGTCAAGGTGCACACGCGGGGAGTCCTTGGTCCGCGGCTCATCGGGACGGGCATCGGCCGGTACAAGATCAGCCTGTCGCAAAAGCTGACCACAGCTCCAAATCCGTATGCTCATGAAAAGGGGTCGAGGTTTGAGCGCACGGTGCCGCGGAAACAGGGTTGGGTCCTGCGGGATGATGGCGAGGCGGGATCGCAGATCATGGAGTCCGATGGTGGAGATATCGATGCCATCGATAGTGATGTGGCCGCCTGACAGCTCCACGAGCCGGAACAGGGTCGACATGATGGAACTCTTGCCTGCTCCCGTCCTCCCCACTATGCCCACTCGCTCACCACCCGTAACATGCATCGACAGACCTGATAAAACGAGCGGTAGCTGGGCGCGATAGCGCATCTCAACGTTGTCAAAGATGATCTCTCCCTTCTCTGGCCACGTTGGCCGCACCTCGATCGTGTGTAGAGGCGCCTCTTCTTCCAACTGAGTCCCATAGTACTGCAGCCGCTCTACAGCATTCATCCATTCTCCACCTCAGCAAGCTGACGTACAGTGAACTGAATCATCTGAACGATGCCCAAGATGTAGCTCAATACTAGACCGCCGATGCTTGGAGAGACGCTGAATCGCGAGGTAACGACAAGGATACCTACAGTCAAGACAAGCAGATTACCGATCGCATCAAGCCGCACTGACAGCCACCGTTGGTTTGAGAAGGTAAGGTAGTACGCGGTATTCATCTCGTCGATAGAATTGCGAAGATCCTCGATGAAGTGCTGCTTCAGGCCGTACGCCCGAATACTAGCCACGCCACTAAGCCCTTCGCTGAATTTGGCGAAAACAGTCGACCGCAGGACCGACTCGAAACGCTTGACCTCTCGAGCTGATGCGCGGTAGTAAGCTGCGGCAAAGATAAACATGAAGAATAAGGGTACCAGTGCGATGGCAAACCAGGGGAAGAAGGCGATGATGAGTGCAAAAACGGATATGATCATGCCGAGTGTGAGAAAGTACATTCTCATGGCATCCGTCAGCGTGTTGTCCATGACATCCACATCCCTCGAGAAGCGATTGGTGATTCGTCCCAGGGGTGTCGTGTCGAAAAAGGACATAGGTGCTCGTAGTGCTCTCGTGACAGCCTGGCGAAGCATGACTCGACTGGATGCGGTGCCGAAGATGGAAAGACAGATTGAAAAGCCAAACATGAGCAATGCTTGAAGAACGCCGAGCGCAGCATAGATGCCAATGTAGGCGCCTGTCGTCATGCCATACTTGTCGCTGGTCCAGTAAGATAGCCACAGACCAGTCATGAGGTTGGCTCCTAATGAGAGGGCCAACAGAAACAAGACCAGGGGGGCGTTGAAGATCGAGCCTGATGCGCGAATGTATGCGTTATAAACCGACCAAGGCACACTGGATACAGCCTTTTCTTCTTGCTGCATCAACGCAGCACTTTTCTTTTTCTTGCCGCTGCTCGCGGCTACTGGCTCATTTGTCTGAGGAGTGGCCTCGCTGGTCTGTTCGACTGCGGTCGTTTCCATCAGTTGCCGGAAGCTCTCGTAATTCTTCATCAAATTGTCGAAAGTGTCCACAGCCATGATTTTGCCACCCTCCATCCAAATAATTCGATCGACTCGGTTGAGTACCCAAAGTTGATGCGTGGCAAGAATACGGCACTTGTCCTTCAATAATCCAAGAATGGCGCTGTCGAAGATGTGGCGTCCAACATGAGCGTCAACAGCACTGAGGGGGTCGTCCATGAGAACAATGTCTGAGTCGTAGTATATTGCCCTGGCGATGTTTAGGCGCTGCTTCTGCCCGCAGAGATAGTGATGCCTCGCTCGCCGATTTCTGTCTTGTCACCGTTGGGCAGCATTTCGAGGTCTGGGCGAAGAGCGCACCTGATGAATGGTCAGCCTTGCACAAGGTATGAGTATGAGAAGACTTACGCATCGATGACCTCGTTATACCACTCCCTGTTCATGTCTTTTCCGAAAAGAATATTATCCCTGACAGTCGCATTCTGAATCCACGCGTACTGAGGGCAAAAAGCTCTCGACGCGCCCAAGACGACCTCACCTGACGTTTTCCTCATGTCGCCTGCCAATGCAGCGAGAAGAGAGCTTTTACCACTGCCCACAGTCCCAATGACCGCAACCAGCTCATTGCGGTGGATCTGAAAGTCCATGCCTTGCAGCTTGAATGGCTCTCGCTCTTCTTCGATAAGAGTGCTGCCACCTGAACTGTCGCCAGCAGACGGTGGCCGCTGTCCAGATTTCTCAGTCTCGCTCATCGTTTTGGTGTCGTTGGCACCTTTCGTGGCATCGGCAACCTTGTCGGCGTCTTGAGTAGGCGTCCTCTCCCAGGTAAAATCAGCGGCATGCATCTCTAGAGCATGCTTGCCGTCAGGCTTCCGCACAACATCCTCCTCTTGTTCTTCCGCGAGCAGAAATTCTTGAATACGCTTGACGGATGACCATGCATCGACGACTTGCCCAAGAACTAGAGGTAGCAGGTTCAGGGGCATTCTCAGTCCATTGAAGAGCGCCAAAGAGGAGAAAACCTCGGCAGGGTTCATGTTATTGTTCGTGAGAGAGTATGTGATAAACGCCAACATGGAAGCGAAGATGGGCAATGACATGCTGACGGCGTTGATTGCGTTTCGGATCGCCAGGAGGATCTGGATGCTGTAGATCTCGCGCTTGCGAATCTCCTTGAGACGATCGAGGAACGCGGTCTCCCAGCCAAAGTACTTGACAAACCGAACCGAGGACAGCACTTCCTGAGTCAGACTGACTCGCTGATCGGTAATTTTGTTGATGGCCTTGCGCCTTCTGAAGAGGCTTCTGATGGCTCTGGTGAGGAGAGGAATGCCGATGACCAGAAGTGCGAAGCCAGCCAATGCGCTGTAACTCAGATTTACGACCAGGAGAGCCAAGGTGATGAGAATGGATATGGGGGCTGTCCATATCATGTGGAAGAGGGCTGAGGCTTGGTCGATGCGGTACGTGTCAACGCTCATCAGGTTGACGATGCGGCCATTGCCCCAGCCGGTGCCATCGCCCGATACCCCCGGCCCTTTGGCAGGTTCCGTTGCATTTTTGGTCTTCTTCTGCTTCTTTGCCTTCTGCTTCACTTGGTCGCCATGTCCCTTGCCAGCTTTAGCGCCGGGACTGTCAGCGACCAGCAGTCCGCCAGCTTTAGCTCTGCCAGATATAGACATGGACTTCTCGAAGATGACACTGATGAGTACGGCTCGCGCCTGGCCTCCGACGATCATGCCGCGATAAATGAAGTGATTCGTGCCCAAACTCTGGAAAACCTGCATGAAAGTTACGCCAAGGACGAGGCCGATGCCGTGGCCGATCGGAGGAGGTGGCGAGTCGTTGCGTGTGGCATCCCAGGCATCGTTGGCGAACTGGATGAGGAAACGCAGCGTAAAGGGAGATAAGACCTGGAAGACTGTTGACATGACTTGAAGCATGCCACCGAGCCAGAACTCGAAGAAAAAGGTTTCATGCATGGCCCATAGCAGAGGATACTTCTCCCCTTTTTTGACGCGCTTCTCAAACGAGGCCTGGAGCTTCAACGACAATTTCTCGGCTGTGCGATCCGGGTTGACGTGCCATAGATCATTGTGCTCCAATTGCCGCTTGTAGCCAACCTGTGTTACTATGTTTTAGCACAGCATTCAAGCGGGGAGTCGCGTAGAGGGGTGAGTTTGGGCAAGAATGGCTTACGTTCATTAGCGGTCCCATCCAGTGGAATATCAACAAACTAAAGAAACCAGCGTGATACTCTCTAGATTCGCCGCGTTCTTCGGGCACTGGCGGTATAGAGCCCCACCGCAAGGGATTTGGCGTTTTGTACCACGGCTTCTTTTCAGGAGGTGGTGGTCTTGAAGCAGTGGTGGTCGCACTGACATCAGTGGCATGGCTCGCTGATCGCTGGAGCTTGACCCTTTTGACCGTCTCATCTTCGTCACTCAAGCTCTTCCTCTCCTCGATCCTCTCGTCATGCTCTGGGCTGGGGACGGCCGGGCCTCCAACGGCCTCTGTGGCATCGTTGGGTTGAATGGAGGCAGCTAGCTGATCGGGAGCCCTGACTTCCTTGTCGGCAGGTTCTGGCATTGTCTGCTGGAAGGATGGCTGGGTATGCTGCCAGTTGGTAGAATGCGTATTATCTGGAGTCTGATTTTGAGTTGTCTTGTTTATGTTTGCAATACGGCAGTAGCTCGGCTTCTAGTCAAAAAGTGTCCGGCTCGCCGTGCCAAGGCGAGTTGAGGTAGATTCAGGCTGCGGTGTGGCGCCTGTGAGTCGCCTTGCCACGAGGGAGCGGTGGCACGACAAAGTTCTAAGCAAACCAAAACATACGACAGGGCTCACAATGTCTGGACCGTCGCTTTGGGTCGGAATATGAGATACAGAACCGGCAGGGTGTAATCCTGGAGAGAGAGAGAGAGTGTGTGTGTGTGTGTGTGAATGGCCTGATCCTCTAACTGGAACCTTCAGGTCGTTGAATTGCAGTGCTCGTGTATGGATGTCATCAAGAGACAAGTAAGGCAAACAGGCCAGGCCTTCCACTATGTACCCATATTGGATCCTTGCCAGGCCCAATGACCTGACCTGCAACGAATCCGTGTGCCTAGCCGACCCTCTTGGGGCTGCTCTTTCCCCGGAAAGAACGTGCCGCATCGGTGCCGTGTGGGTGCTGAAGCCGTGGGAAAGCACCTAGTAGTGGTAGTGGCAGGGGCGACTGCCCGTCGTATTACTACGCGGCGCACCTCGCACTTGCAAGTGGAGCAAGTCCGAACATGCGAATTGATAATCAAGCGTTACACAGCACACGCTAACGTCTGCCCCCCACCCCACCTGTCGGTCTCGTTGACCTCCGACCCGGCTTGCCTTGTCTCTCTTCATTACATCCGTAAACTCCATGGTCTTCACGCGGCGTTTTGTCGTCACTACTGCAGCCTGGAGCGTAGCGGCCCTTCCCAACTGGTGGTTGCTCTAGTTCGTCCTTGATTTTGTAGTCCGTAAGAGGGACGGGGACCGAATGTTATTCAAAGGAACGATCGATGCTACAGAAAGCCAGAGAGTTCAAGTTTGAAAATGACCCCGCCCCAGTCACACCTCGATAAGGCAGGCAACAGGTCTTGAATCATTCGCCCGCCCATCGACTGCAAAGGTCGAGTGCCCCGTGACCCCTGCCGATTCGCTTCAGAATAATTACCCGTGCTAGGCCCTAGGTCCAGCGGCCGAGACAATCACCTCCACGCATCTTAGCACATACCGTGCTGTATCCAATTTGACATAAGTCCAGATTCCTGTCAAAAGCCTCCGTTCAATCCATCCCATGTGATCAAGCCGTGTTGTTGCCATGCCTTGGGAAGTCGGGCAGAGCGGGCAACTTTGGACTCGTTTCATGCGCCCAGCTCAACGTCGAGCTTTTGCTGTGTAACTGTCGCCTTTGTCACTGACTCAATGCTACACCAGAGTATCACAAACGCTGTCACCCGAGCTGCGACGCTGAAGCTTATATTGATTACCATTGTGCGGGGGAGACTTGATGCTGAACATTTCTGACAACAGAACAGGGATGTTCCGCTTGGACGCGTGAGAAATAGTGTCAAAAGCATAGTTTACGTCCGCACGCGAAGACGTCCACAATGGCCTTGCCAGAACGTCTGCGCCAGTTAGCTGAAGCACCTCATCTTTGTCCTCAAAGAGACCGGGTAGACTCGCCCACCAGGGATTGACGCGCCACGACTATGCTTCCATGGCTAAGCAGGGGATGTTGCCGCTTCCTACGACTGTCTGTGGGTGCCACTCATTCGTTCCTACATCAGCTGCACTACACGTTCAGCGTGGTTTCGAAGAATATTTCACACGGGGAAAGGGGGAGGTTGGTTTCGCGTCACAAGTAGGCGAGTTCGATAGACTAGAACATCTACTTATAGCAACTCATTATTGGGCTACCATGATGGAAGAAACCGCATGTGCAAAGTGACGCCTCAAGGTAGAGCTGCTTTTACGTCTTATTTTGAATGAAGCAACTCAATGTCCCGCAACCCTCAAGCCTCCTTGTTCGTGCATTCATATAGTACAGGTAGTGCGGTACGCAAAGCTTCATATGCCTCGACCCCCGACCTAGTCCGAGTCAGACGAATCGTCCTCATCACCGGGCGCCATGCCCAGCAGAGACCTTTCCATGTCGTCGAGCTCCTCCTCCTCCCCGCCGCTATTGGCCCCGACAGCTGTCCTGTCTGCGTCTTCCATGTCGTCCACCTCGTCACCGTCGTCAGCCATTGTCACGTCACCGTTAGTGTGTCCGTTGACGCGCTCGTCGCTGTGGCCCTCGTCCCCTGCCAGCAGCGTCTCGTCGCCGACTTCACCAATGTCGCCGTTTTCCTCTGGCTCGGCTACACCGTTCACAAGGCTGCGCTTCTTGACGGGTGCGATCACGCCTCGGCCGGTTCCCTTGTACTGCGCCCACCGCGCCAGACGACGATTGACCCGCCGGTATGCTGCGGCTATCGCTGCCGACTCTTCCCCAAAGTCGTCATCTTCAGACTTGAGCGGCGTGAGTCCCGCCATGCCGCGATGGCGGTATTGGCCAGCATCTCGCAGCGGGCCACCAGCAGACAACTCGCGCCGTACTTCGTCTTCGACATCGCTGTCTTCAAGTGGATCCTCCATCTGCTTGATCCGTCGCATGGCCGCAAAAGATGCCCTCCCCCTTTTACGAAGCTTACGAGCCTGCGGTGCTCTTTACGCAACCCCTGGTCCAGGATATGCTCCACACGCTGACTGCGGTTGCGTTCTACCGCTAGCTGGTGAGCTGTTGGTGGTCCTTGGCTTTCTAGCGATGATGCCCTCCCCCCAGGCCGCCGGGCGACGAGGCCTCGAAGGCCTGGTACTTGAGCGACGCGCCTCCCCGGCGACCCTGAGCTCTTAGCCCCCTAAATGACCCAGCAGTTTCGGCGGCGGAGTCGACCGGATGCTATCCATGTCCGATTCATTGCGGGAAGGTCGGATCCTGGGCAATATCGCCGGGCCCTCCTCCACAGGCGCGCGATTGCCACCCCGTCCTCCACGCTTGCTCTGGCTGTCAAGAAACTGCTGATCGGCTTCGAGAATCTTAGCACGCGTTTTCTGCCTCTCGTGACCAAACTCCATTTCCTTGGGCGTGTCAATGTTCTCACGAGCCTCCTCCTCGGGCGTCATCTCTTCGAGGCGTGGCACGCCCTGATTTGCAACATCCACGCCGTAGTCCACGCCGCGACCAAAAGGGTTCTCGTCGCAGCCTTCCTCAGTAAAGTCAGACTCTAGGTAGAACCACATGATCCACAGAAAGGCCTTGGCCCGAGACTTGCTCGTGTAATTTGTCTTCATGACAAGATCGTGGAACTCTTGCCCTGGAGGAAAATGCAGCTCTGCTACCTTAAGAGCAGCGTTGCATATTACGAATAAGAGGTTGACCGGGTTGGTGCGCGGACAGTCGCGGGCTTTGATCTTGTTGAGACTCCCAGGCTCCTGTCGGTCCTCGGCTCCGCCCTTCAGGATGGACTTCAAACGAGGCGCATCCTGGAGCTGTTTGTATGCATGGGGGTCTTGGTGTGCCTGCAGCGAAGGAATGGCATGGTAGGTACGGAGTTGGGCTCGCATCTCGGGGAAGACTGTGATTCATTGTGTCAATTGGTTGCATGGCAGTGTGGTGTGGACTTGGGTGCCTTACAGTTTAGTGTTGTGTTCATCCGCCCGATGTTCACGAGCAGGCACACCATTGCCATGCCCTTTGCGGCATCTCGATCGCTCAGCAGTTTGTCGCGTAAGACTTTGCTCGTCTTGCTGCTCCTTGACATGGTGTCTATGTAGAGGTCGGCAAAGTTCTGTTTGTCGCGTCCAGGTTCGTACGAGTTGGTAAAGGCAGGTGTCATGTCATCAAAGACAGCCTTGAGGAAATCGTGTTGTATGTCTTTTCGCCACAGTGGCTCACCGTCCTCTTTCTTGAGATGTCTGATCTTGCCAATTGTACCACCATCTTTGTCCTTGCCCTGCGACTTGCCCTTGCCGCGTCCCGTCTTCTCTGCCGGCTCGGGCGTCATGTCGATCATTCGAGTGTCTTCATCCTCCGTCATGGCCTGCGACAAGAATGATTTGCCCTCATCTCGATGTATAGGTGAACTGGGTGCTTCTATGTCGGAGGCAGGGCCAGCAACTGCTGAGCTAGTAGGTGATCGGGACGCCATTTTCTAAGGCGACAAGCTCTATGGCTGCCCTTACAGCGGGCTCGTGACTTGAATCGATGGAAGATCGCGTTGGCGAAATGCTTTGGATTGATGGGGGTTCGCGACTGTCGATACGTGAAAGATTCCAGTGAGGTGATGATCGAGTCGCGCAGGGATACGGATCAACGGGACATCGAATAGATGACGTTCACCAATAACCTCTATCCTGGGAGTCCGTGTTGAAGTATATGGTGGGAGACGGAATTCGAAAGGAAAGCAGATGGCACAAGCGGGCGACTGGCGGAGGAATATGGGACCTGGATGAGGGTAGCCGCAAAGTATTTTTGTAGGTCGTAACTGACTACTACGGAACCTTGCGGCCCTGAATTGCGCCCATCGCAAGGGCCACGCCTCGTCGGATCACCTCACCGGCTCACCGAGGACACGAGCCTTTGAGCTTTGCTCCAATAGACGCGTGTCACCAAGGACCCACTTACTGGACGTGCAGCTACTGAAAATCGAGTCTGGAAGGAGAGAGCCGGATTGGGAGTACCGTGACTAAGCATTCTGTGGTATCGTTGCTTACGTCAGCTTGGATCGTCTTCTCCCAGAACGAGGACTGGTCACCCAAGACAGACATAACATCACGATGGGGTCATCATAGAGTATTCAGCAAGTGTTTTTATTGGGGTCTTCTCAGTTCATACGAGCTGTCCATCTCCGGAATCCATGGTCCGGTCGAGGTCGCGCCCTCGGATTCCGCCCCGAGGTTACGCAGTGACCGAAGACCTGCAGCCTCTCGACTCCTCGCTATCGCACGCGAGAGTCGGAAGGCAAATGCTCGTTCCAAATGAGCCGCTGGTTTCTGAAGAACAAGAACTTTTGGTATCCCTTCCGCGAAAGCCCCATCCTCGAATGGGAAGGCCATCGTCAGTGCTCTCGAAAAACGCTCTGTCAACTATTCCATAGTTGCCAGCCCGTTCCTGGTGCCGTTGCCGCCCTCTGAAGGCAACACCGTGCCTCATGAGATATTATAGACCAGAGAACCGAAAACTGAGAACCGAGAAAATCCACTTTTGTCTATGATGCACGGCAAGATGCATGAGCCCTCTATCCTCCGTCGAAAGGCGAGAAATGCCTGTCGGGAAAACTGGGTAGAGAGAGCAGACACATGCATGATCTCCGTGGCCGTCAAATCACCTTCCATGGTGATGATCATGAAGGCCGTAGATCAGGACGCGCTAGCCCTGCGCGCCTCGCGTATGCTGTGTGCTCTGCCTCTCCTGAAGGTTTCCCCCTGCGGTCTATAGGGTATCATCGGTTGGGGGACCAGCGAAAACAAACGCTCTATCGATGGATGTCGTTCATGTCCTGACGCCCTGTTCAGCTCCTCATTGCAATGAGAGGCTACCGTCTCGCGGATTTGGGTCATGCTGCCGTGCTGAAATGCAAAGTCGAGTCGAAATGCGTAAAAAAGGAAAAGAAAAGGGAAAAGAAGAATAGAGACAAAGTTGCGGCAGAAAGCAGGCAACTTAAAAGCGTCCAGCGGACTTCGGAGGCAAAACAGTACCTCAACCGCCGGGAGACCAGATGGTTTGGTTGTATTTACCACCAAGACTGGCCGCCAGCGCCGCTGCCGGGGTTGCCATAGCTGCCGCCGCCGCCGCCACCGCCGCCGTAGCCACCGCCGTAGCCACCGCCAGCACCGCCGTAGCTGGGGTTAGGAGGAGGACCTCCGAAGCCGCCGCCACCGCCGCCACTGTAGCCGCTGCTGGGAGGGCCACCGAAGCCGCCGCCGCCGCCGCTGCTGAAGCCGCCACCGCCGAACTTACGGAAATCGCGGTTGGCACCCTGACCACGGCCACGACCACCGCCGGACCTACCACGGCCGCCTCCGCCGTAGGAAGACTCACGGGCGATAGTCTCAAGGAATTGAGGAACCTCCTGGTTAGCTTCCTTGAGTAGCTCAAGTAGCTCGCGAACGACACCACGGTTGCCGCGGTTGAAGAACGCTGTGGAGTGACCAGTGTTGCCGGCACGACCAGTACGACCGATGCGGTGGACGTAATCGTCAATGTCGGTGGGCAGATCGTAGTTGACAACGTGGGTGACGTTGGGAATATCGAGACCACGAGCGGCAACGGCGGTGGCAACCAGAATGGGGCAGCGGCCGTTGCGGAAGAACTCGAGGGCGCGCTCACGCTCGCGCTGAGTACGATCTCCGTGAATGGAAGTGGCAGGGAAGCTCTGGTTGATGAGGAAGTCCGAGAGCGAATCAGCCATGCGCTTGGTTTCGACGAAAATCAGCGTGAGACCTGCGCCATGGGTGTGGAGAATGTCGAGAAGAACAGAGCGCTTGTCGACGTCCTCGACGTACTCGACCTTCTGGGTGATGTTCTCCGAAGTGGAGCCAACACGACCAACAGAGAGGAAGACGTAGTCCTTGAGGAAGTCACGGGCCAGCATCTGGATGTCGCGAGGGAAGGTGGCGGAGAACATGAGAGTCTGGCGGTTCTGAACGCCGGGCATGTCCTCTCCCTCAACGATACGGCGAATCTGAGGCTCGAAACCCATGTCAAGCATGCGATCAGCCTCATCGAGCACAAGATACTTTAATGTTTCTGCAGGGAGATGCGACCGCGCTCAATCAGATCGACAAGACGACCAGGGGTGGCACCAGGAGATCACAACCGCGCTCAATCTGGCGGAGCTGAGAACCAATGTCGGCAACACCGTAGACAACGCAAGGGCGAACCCACGAACGGTAGGCGAACTTGCGGGACTCGTCGTAGATCTGCGAGACAAGCTCACGGGTGGGGGCGAGGATCAGCGAGGTGGGGTAGGCCTTGCGCTGACGACCAAAGCTGCCACCGGCGGCGTTGGCGGGAACGGGCGAAGGACCGTTGATAAAGGCCTGAGAAAGAATGGGGAAGAGGAAACCACCAGTCTTGCCGGAACCAGTCTGGGCGCAAGCCATCAAGTCACGGCCACCCATGACAATGGGGATAGAGTACTTCTGAACGGGGGTGGGAACCTTGTAGTGGGCAAGGCCAATGTTGCTGATGAGGTGGTCATCGAGAGGAGGGTTCGTGAAGGTGAGGACAGGCTCGGGAACGTCGTGACCGGAAGCCTCGACGGGAATGTCGTCGTACTTCTCGAAGTTGATACCGGTGTGCTGCTTGGAAGGATCGTCTGGGGTTCCGAAGAGCTCGCGCTCGACACGGGGGTTGGCGGGTCCAGCAATGTGCTTGCCGTCGCGCCACTGGCCATCGCCAGAGCCGCGGGTGTGTGCGGGAGCACCGCCGGCACCGCCAGCATTGCCGCCGTAGCCACCGCCGTAGCCACGATCACCACCGTTCCAGCCGCCACGACCACCACCGCGACCGCCACCGTAGTGAGGAGGAGGACCGCCAGCCGCAGCGGGAGCAGGGGGGCCGCCAGGGCCACCGGGACCGCCCATGGCAGGCCAGTCACCGCCACCGCGACCACCGCCGTAGTTGCTGTTGTTGCCGTTGTTACTAGGTCCTGGTCAGCACTAGAGTTTGGTCATGAGACGGAGAGAATATAATACTAACCCAGCCCAGGCACTGTTGTTGAGGCCGCCGTTGACGTTGGGAGGGCCGCCGGCGACGGGGGCGGCGGCGGCGGCAGGAGGAGCCTGGCCCATCTTGCCTCGCATATGAGGGGGGATGTAAGAGGAGCGACCAGAGGCCTCCTGAGTGGAGCCGATGTTGAGGCCGTTGATGTTGAGCTGATCAGCCATGATGAATAACGTTCGTAGGTTGATGAGGTGTCGTCAAGTTGATGGGTTTGGAAATCGTGCTCGAAAATGGAATCGAGGGTATTCGTAACGTCTCGTGACAAACGATCGGTTCCTGGGAAGGAAATGATTGTTGATGAGAGGCAAAGTTCGGCCGCGTAATGACAGTCGAACCAAAAGACGAACGATGGATGACGAGAGGGAGAAAGAAGACGGCGGATGTCTTCTGATGTCTCTCGAAGTTTGTTTGTGTCGTCTAAGCAGGTGCTCTCGCTCAGGCACTGATTAGGCTAGGACGTCAGTATCTTGTGTTTCCCGAAGAAAAAAGGAAAACAAAAGACAAAGATGACGATGCGGAGGAGATTGTTGCGCGTGTGGAGGATGGAAGGAAACGAGTCCCTTTTTGGTGGTTGAAGGAGAGGAGGATTGTGGGAGAGAGGTGATTTGTGGGAGGAAGGTAGAAAAGAGAAGATCATTACTGTAGGGAGGCAACAGGAAAAAAAATCGGTTGAGGACTGTCGGAAGGTGCCTAACCAAACCCCTGCGACCCGCAAAAGTTTAGGGGCGCTGCGACGCCCTGACTTAGCTGGCTGTTGGCTGCTGACTGCGAGTGGGTGGCAGTTGTGCTTTTCGTTGTCCACCCCCCACCCCCCTTCTTCTGCCAGTGGGAGGTCCTGGGGCAATGGGGCTCGCGTAGTTACCTAGTTCCTGCCCTGTGGGTGTGTAGTGGCCCTGCGGCGGCCTGCGCGGTGAGAGCGAATGAGCACGGGCCCCGGAACACGGAATGCCTGCTCTGTGAGTGGCCAGCACACCCCAGCACCTGTACCACTTTGGCCACCCAAATGCATGTGCTTTGCCATTTCGAGGGAAAACTGGGCCAGCCCCCCCCCCTACGTCGACGTGTCGCTACGACTCAGTCCACTGTCGACCGATGACATAACGCTCTTCAGCAGGCCGGCGGCAGTGGCACGACATGCACCAGCTAGAAGGACGGGAAGAGCGTCTTTGGAAGGGAACCGCAGAAGAACAACACTAGCAAGAGGCAAAATCCTGAACAACTCGTTGTCCTTCGGCAGTAACTTACAACCTCACGTTCCTGTCGGAGAAATTGCGAGCTGCTGTTGCAGAAGTCTGCTACTGCGGTCATCATGTGATTCCGGTACGAAAAGATAGGACAGCGTCGTTGTAGGGGTTGGTTGCTAGGTTCCAGGTCTGCGGGTCTTGTGACGATGCCCAGTGACACCAAATATACGTGGTTGCATAGCAGCCACATGAGATGGGGTGGTGTGGGAAGGATGAGCGGTACCTTCGTGGGATACACACTCGGACAGCACTGCCATCTCACTGCGAAAGTACTACTGATCTGCAGGAACCTCGACCCTTGCTCTTGCTCGTCTCCGGTCACTCCTGGGAGACCCTGTGAAAGAGCATCCGCTTGATTTAGACGTTTAGTTCGGTTTGAAGGTGATCCCGCTATGCTCTGAACGACCTACTTCGCCCAAGGTGACTGCGATTGCAGATTCAGCATCAGATGTCTGGCGCTTTCCTGACGAAGGTCTACGAGCCCAAAGTATAGGGGTCTCCCAAATTATTGGGCCAAATTGCAGGCCAACATGACTGTGGTGCTTGACTTTGAGCCGCACTTCAAGACATGTGGGTGCGACTGGCTGTACAGGGTCTTGAGATCATTGGATCGGGCACGGCTCGATTCACCGTAACTTGCAATGTACGCACTGGTCGATACACCTTAAGTCTAAGCCGTAACGCCGAGGAAAAGCAAGCAAAGCAAGAGCTCTCTACCATGCGACGCCGAGCCCCTTGTCACGATGCGTTCGCTTTCGTCGTAAAGCGTCTCGGAAGCACGGACACCTGTTCCTCAACTCGACCATAACGGGCAGGCCGGTCTACGACGACCATGTCTTGATGCGGCGGAAGCTGCCTCATCGAGGAAGAAAAGCACGAGACTGCGCAAGCTTGCTTCAGAAAGCTATGACTTTGCGTGTTGACGGGTATGGTGCACTGGTTGTAGATGAAAAGGACAACAAAGCAAGGTTGACAGAAGTGTCGGCGAAGGCAGCTGTCACAGCATTATCACTGCAGAAAGACAGACATGGGTTCTTAGCATGCCGTAGCCTCGAAAAATCGACGCCTGTATCATTGACCGACCGAGTCTAGTAATACATGCCATCGTTGATGGCCCTTTATCCTCCGCATCCGCGCACCGTGACCGCAGCTGACACTTAGGCGCTCTTGACTACCTTGTCGTCGTCAAACTCAATATCAATCACGCCGTCCTTCGTCACTGCCTTGACGAGCATGCCCTTGAAGTCGATGGGCATTCGTCTCTTCAGCTCGTCCGTGCACATGTTGAGGATCTTGATGCCCTGGCCAAGGGTGATATCGGGGTGGTGGTGTTTGTCGAGGATGGAGAGGCAGTAGTATCTGCACGTGGGTCAGCAAGATGAAAGACGTACGCAGACAATCATGCCCAAGCGTACTGTGCGTAGCCGTGGGCGGCATATGGCACGGGCGCCATCGACGCGAGGTAGTCCATCCAGTAAAGCGCGGGCTTGAGAGTGATGGGGTCGACACCGCCCAGCAGGAGGTTAACATTGTAGGGCTTCCGGGAGCGCAGGCTGGAGGCGAGCTCGCCGCGGACGAAGTGGGAAATGGCGGATGGAGAGAGATCCGTCTCGTTTCGCATCGAGTAGAGCTGGGCGTTTGCTTGAATGTATTCGGCAAATTGTACTGCGCGGGGAGGAACCGTCAGTCAGGGGCACCTGCGAGGGAACCAAAGAGGCATCCGTGGTCACGAACCTGTATCACCAGCCTCTCCTGAGAAGGCCATCAGCGTGTGCTTGTTCAGCTGCCTCGTCTTGTCGTCGGACGCCTTCAGGACGGTTGCGCCTCGCATCGCAGCCTTGGAGGCGGCGATGATAGTGAAGTCCTTGCCCGTAATTCCGAGAAGCACCTCCCTGTGGCGTTGTTAGCACAATTCGAGGTCGTCTCGGTGGGCATGCTCACATTGTGGCTGTCGTTGTCGTGTATGGAAGCTATGTGGTCGTGATGGGCAAATGCGGTTGTTGCTCGTAGGTGCACCACTTCAAGACTCTCCGAAGCACTGGAGGTCCCAGCAGCCAGCCAGCCCCAGTTGAGCTCCCTGACTGACGCGCGCAAAGCTACAGCCTAGCCGCGCCCCCAAGTCATCTTTCTGCCGCCCCCGACCGCCCAGTCAGTCATCCAGCAAGAGCGCTTTTTGGGCGGTAATGGAGCAACGGAAAATGCTGCCCCACTGAGCATCCCCCCCGGGACCCACTCAATGCTGCCTCCGAACTTTTTTTTTCCAGTCCCTCCAAAAAGTTCGTGAGAGCCAGAAGAGACGGCGGGTCGCTTTTGGAAGCCAGAACAGCCCAGCACGCAAAAGTCGCCCAACCGTGCCTCCAACCATGTCGTCGTTCTTCACCATCCCCGGGGCGAACAAGAAGCGGAAGAGGCCCGAAGCTTCGGATGCACCCAAAAAGCGAATTGCAGCATCAAAGGGCCCAGGTCGAGCCGCCCCGCGAGGAGGTGCCAAAGGTGCCGCCTCCAGATCCAAGGTCGCCGCGCCTGCCGGCAAGAAGGCTGCCGCTGCCGACGACGACGACGAGTCGATTTCTGGAAGCGATGACGAGAGCATTGTCAGCGTATCGGACAAAGAGGAGGAAGGTTCCGGGTCAGAGGGAGAGGGCGAGACGGCAGCAGAGCGCCGCTTGAGGCTGGCAGAGAGGTACCTGGACAATGTCCGGCAGGAGGTGGACGAGGTGGGCTTCAACGCCGAAGACATTGACCGAGACCTGATCGCGGAGCGTCTGATCGAGGACGTCGCGGAAGCCAAGGGAAAAGTCTACCGCCAATTGGCATCCGAATTCGCCTTTGACGAGGCGACGCACACCTACTTCAAGAACAACGCAGAGACCTTCACATCCGTCGCTGTCAACGCCCCCTACGCCTATACCACGACCAAGGACATGTACCTGCACAAGTGGAGGATACAGGACCTACCCAAGGACCAGTTCCCCCAGACCCAGACCAAAAAGAAGAAGTCAAAGTCGAAGAAGCCCCCGCCACCGCCCCGGAGGAAACCCCAGCTCGAGCAATGGCTCAAGGGCAATGGAGACCCCACGAACAAGTCCTCCCAACGACACAGCGACCGCATTCTCTGTGTGGCCGTCTCCTCAGACGGAAAGTATCTCGTCACCGGTGGCGAGGACAAGCGTCTCATTGTCTACAACGCCGAGACGCTCAAGCCCATTCGCGTCTTCACCCATCACCGCGATGCCGTCACGGGCCTGGCTTTCCGCCGTGGTACGAACCAGCTCTACAGCTGCTCGCGCGACCGAACCGTCAAGGTCTGGTCCCTGGACGAGCTTGCCTACGTCGAGACTCTCTTCGGCCACCAAGACCAAGTCGTCGACATCGATGCCCTCGCCCAAGAGCGCTGTGTCAGCGTCGGCGCTCGTGATCGCACCGCCCGTCTGTGGAAGGTCGTCGAGGAGTCGCAGCTCGTCTTCCGCGGCGGCGGCAGCGGCGTCGACAAGAAGAGGCCCCTCAAGGATGTTGACCCACGCTCCATCGCACACGAAGGCAGCATGGAACGCGTTGCCATGATCGACGACGAGCTGTTCGTCACTGGCAGCGACAGTGGTGCCCTTTCCCTATGGAGCGTCACCAAGAAGAAGCCCATGCACATGATCCCTATGGCCCACGGCCTGGAGAAGCGCCTGCTGCCCACAGAGGCGTCGGCAGAGAAGGCCCCTGGCGACAATATTGTGCCCCCGCCGCAGCCAAGGTGGATCACGGCGCTCAGGACAATTCCATACACCGACATTGTTCTCAGTGGCAGCTGGGACGGCTATGTTCGCGTGTGGAAGCTCAGCGATGACAAGCGGAAATTGGAGCGTGCGGCGTCCTCAGCGGCGGGAAGGGGCTGCCCGTCTCCGCCGCCGATTCGGACGTCGACATGGACACAGAGCCCGCCCAGCAAGACGGTTTCCTGATTAGGGGCATCATAAACGACATTGCTATCTTTGAGCGCGGGGAGAAGGCGAAGGACGGGCTATGTGTTGTTGTTGCCGCTGGAAAGGAGCACAGGCTGGGTCGTTGGCAGATGACCAAAGGGTCGGCCAAGAATGGAGGCTACGTGTTCGAGGTGCCAAGATCAATACCCCTAAAGCTGGAGGTGAACGGAGCTCATGACAAGGACTCAGAGATGGAGGACGATGAATGAATCAAGTCAGCGGCTGGCGCATATTAGACTGCATATTCGGGTTGTGTATAATATGAGCGAACGATACTTGGTCGGACTACGCCCCTTACTACCTGTTAAGCACCCCCGTCACTCTTTCCAGACACAGGGCGCCTTGGCCTTTGTCAAGACATCTTCAATCACATTTCTCGAGGGATAGCATTATGAAATGATCGTTCGGCATTGTGTTCTCTGAACCACTCACACAGTGTGCTCGGCCGTCTACCTAATCTGTCAGAAGTCAAATCAGCCCCATTTGATCAATACTCTCAACCGCGGGAGCCAAAAGACAACCACAGCAAGTCGCAATGCAAAGTCCAAACGCCTGCCCGTGATTTCATTACACGCGGTATGTAGTCTCTCGTCGTGCCCAGTCACTGTAGTTCGGCCAAAATGGAAATCAATGTCCTGCCCGCGCCGGGGTATCATGCATAAGGATATTCGCTCTAATCCGCACCCGTAAGATCAATGTTGTTGTCGCCGTTGGCCGCCCGGCGTCCAGTGCCCCCATAGACAACCTTCTTGCCTCGGTCGCCTCGAGAAGGCGTATTTTGAGTTACTAGACCACGTTGACTTCGACGCCCCAAGCTGGGGCTGAGTGTAAAGTGGGGACTCGTCGTTCTCTTTTCCAATGTTTTCTCGCTTTGTGGACTTTCATCGACCACAACGATGGCTTGGCTGTTTCCTCGTTCTGCATGCTTCGTCTGCTGTTTCTCAGGCGATTCGGGCCGTTCACCATGGTCACCAGACATGCTAAAATACGACCAGCTGTTGCGCTCAAGAGCAACCATCCCATCGTATCGCTTTTTTGGATTACGAAACCGGCGGCGAGGTGCAGGTGGGTTGGCCTCCGATAGGGTCAATTCGTCATGTGGCTCTTTCCGCTTAGGCGTCCCTCGTTCTGAGGAACTGCTAGATAGTATTGGCGGGACCAATGAACTGTCGTCTCTACTGGCCAGGCGCTCGATATCCGAAGTATCTACCAAGGGGTCCACCTTCGGCGATCTACAAGGTAATGCTTTCAGAGCCTGGTTGGATTGGGGAGGCGGCCGAACGGGTTTTGGCGAGGAACCAATGTTTTGGTTTGACGGGGACTGGCCATCTTGGGGGTCTGCGGCGGTGAGGTTGCCGGTCTTTCCACTAGACGGAGGGTCAGAACTCGAAACTTGGATTTCCTGAACTGGCTTGCGTGGATTGGTCGTACCAGTTGTTTGAGCAGCGTGTGCCGGTGACGAATCTACGGCTGGAATGACCAATTTCTTTTGCGCCAGCTTAAGAGCTTTGGCGTCTTGCTTGGCCTGTCTTTCCTTGTCGCGCTGGACGTTCTGTTCTTGTCGTAGCCTTATTATAAGCTCTCGGATATTAACACGCATGGCAACTGGGTCAATGTCCGACCATCCAAGGTCTTTCTTATTGACGATGTCGCTGATGACCTGATCCGGTTGCTTCAGGAACCTTTCGACATACGCAAGGAGGAAGATACCGCAACTGCTGAAATCGCTTTGCTCGGGAATGCCTCTGGCGGTCCAACCAAAACGAGGCGGGGTTTCGACGTCAATTCGACGTTTGTGCTTGATCTCCTGTACTAGGTAATCCTTGAGGTTGGTGCAAGTACGTGAGTGGGTATTCCCCATGGAGTCCAGAGTAATGATTCTAGCGTCGCCGGGTTCCGCTGGACGTTTCCCCCCACCATCGAGCTTCCGGGTCTGCGCCTTGCTCAAGGCAATTTCCTTGAATAACTTGGGAGGATTGCCAGGAGCAATGTCAGAGACAATCCGAACATCTGCTTCACTGTCATCTTGCACATCAACAGCTGCGTCTGGAGTTGACTGTATCTGGCTTCCCGGCTGAGGCATGTCCTCCTCACCAACGTTCGTGACAATTGTCTTGTTGTCATCCCTCGCCGTCGCTGGAAGGAGTTTCCCAGGATGGCAGATGATGGCCAGATACCAGTGCGCTGCTTCGTTTACTGGAACAATGATGTAGTCTTTGGAGAGCAAGTCGATCTTGGCAGTCCATGACTTGACCGCGTCATAGTCGACACCTCGACCCTTCTGTTGGCCCAATCTCTCGTAAAACCAAGGATTCATGAACAAGATTCGTTCCGACCATCCCGCATTCTCAGTTTCCAGCTGATCCTGAAGGTATCTGAGGTAGAAGACGATGAGGTTGTCGTTCAGACACTGGTGTTCTTCGAGCCTAGAAATATCATCCTTGATGATTTGGGCGCGATTCTTGCCACTGGCGGGATAGATCAGTGGCTTGTCTTCCCACATCTTGTCCCAATCTGGATAGTTTTTGATCCATTGATTGTTGATGAAAGTCATTGTAGACGACGTTTCTATGTCGTCACTTGTGCGACGCTCTACTTGATGACTTCGGGGGCTTTTGCGGCGAAGTTGTGATTTATCGACCTCTGAAGGCGAGTTGGAGCCAACTTTCATTCGATCTCTAAGAGATATACGCCTAGTGGTTTCTGCGGTCTCGGGCGACGGCGGTGAAGATCCCCTGCCTTGTCGGCAGAGTCGAGGATCAAGACCTCGGCGTTTGTCTTGCTGTATATGATTTTGTGCAGCATCTGTCGATTCGAGATCCCTGATCCGATGCACATTTGGATCTACCTGTGCTGGAGCGCTCTGGTACAGGTTGTCGAAGACTTTTTGAAGCGTTTCACTTTAGAAAGAGTAAGTATTACAGTCCTCGACCAGCTCGGTCTGTCAACATACCGTGGTGGGTGTTCGAGTTTCACAGATTTCAGATCCTGGGCTCCTGTGGCGATCGCGCTAAAAATCCATCGAATAATTGCAATGACATCCGGAATGGACGGGATTTCGATACACAACTTCGGCGATATTACCGACTTGTATGACCGGAAAAAGACAAGATGCTGTGACTCCTCTGAGAACTTGATCTTAATGCAGTCTCGCAGCGTCAGTGTCAACCATTGCATGTCCAGCTTTTCGCCCGCTTTGTCGACTGGTACTAGACTGAAGGTATCTTTTTTGTTCAGTCTCAGCCGAATTGTTTGACCACATTGCTTGGCATCAAAGCGAACCTTGCCCGACACGGCACGAGAAAGAGTGACTTCCTCATCTTGACTTTCTTGCCTCTCTTGAAATTTCGTCTTGCGTATATCTCCCTTTGGAGTTTTACGGTTCAAAGGCGAGACTTGGCCATTGAGCGACATGCGTGAGTCCCTCGAGGCGTCGATTTCCTTTGTTGGAGATGCATTTAGCTCGTCGTCGCTGTCAATAGCTTCGGGGGGCTGTTTTGAGGATTGTTGATAGGTTCGGGAGGACAACCGATTGCCCTCGAGCTGGTCCGTGATCCGTTGTACCTCTTCCACATCACGCTTGGCGATGGCAACGGTCCGCCGGCTTTCAAGTGCCGCAATATCAACTCTGGGCGGTGTCTTCAGGTCGTTCGAACGGCGTTGTCTTTTCGCATGGTGCTTCTCGTCCTCGGCCAGCTCGTCAATCTCTGGGGACTGTCGTCGTTTGTCGCCAGACCTTGAGCTCGTAGCCTTCTGGGACATCAGCCCACTACGATGAGGTTTCTGTGTCGCTTTGGCCTCCGGTGCGTTGTCTGTGCTCATATCATCGGAGTCGTCCTTAAACTTTGGTAGAAACCGAGCCATACTGTGGCCCACGCCTCTGAATCTCCCCATGAAGCCACCCTCCGGCTTCAAGTTGTTTTGGGGTTGGAAAGTACCCTTCAGGACATGTTTTTTTGACCCCATGATGTTGCAAATACATCAGCGATGAGTTCGAGGCGTTGGCCGGGTCGCGGCCTGTGTTGTGCGCAGGGAATGTTCGGTTCGGTAAATCCAAATGGGATCGTTATCTTCACTTTTCGTTCGGCACGCTGTACGGAGACCGCTAAAGCAAAATGTCAAAACCATGCTCGGCTCCTGGAAATATCGCTTGCCATACGCTGGACGAGGATTCCAGTCGGCCTCTGAGGGACCCCTTCTTGGCAAGAGCCCTCGTGCCAGATGCTGACCAGAGGTCAGCCCTTTGTTCACGAAAGAGTCGCTTTCATTCGATGTGAGGTCGGATTGGCTCGGTCTGGGAACAAACACAGGCTGTCAGAGGGGGCGTCTTTGTTGCTCCTTGCATACAAACACTCACAGTGGTTTCGCGGCATGGCAGTGATAGACAGTGAACGAACAAATTCTCTCCCGCAGACCTGTGCTGCTGTGTTGTGGTGCTCTTGGTGATCGTGTGCAGCCGTCTGTGAGGACTAGTGGGGTACGGGCAGTGATGGCAAGAACAGACCAGCCAGAAAATGCACGTCTGAGGTAGGTACGTAGGTAGGTTGCAGTGACGAAGGAGGGAGCTGCATGGGGAAACTTGGGGGTCCACTTTCTGGCGACCAGCTGGTAGCACTTCGCGCTGAATACATATTACTGTACCTGTTTGGCAGGTAATCGAAGTCACTGGACAACCTAGAAACGCATGAGTCCTTGAACGTAAATTGAGCTGTCGGGTCAATCGTACCGCCTATTTGACCTCTACCAACTGAATGAACTCTCGTTTCTGCTTTGGGCCCGGGTCGTTGAGAAGAACACGGCGAGCCAATATATGCGCCTCTCTATCAAGTGGCACCTGTTGAGCCACAGGTTGAGAGGCTAAGATAGGGGGTTGGGATCTCGACAGAACCTATATAAGGGCTGCGGAGAGCCAGGACCAAGATCCTTTCTAACTCTTTACCTGACATTTGGCTGCGGATATGACCTACGAAGGACCTCTTCACTCTGCTGGTCCACGAGCCCTGACATAGATGTCCAAATGAGGCTGATTATCTGGCCTTCATGTCTCAAAAGTGGTCAATCTAAACCCCAAACTCTTCTCTTATCTACACATACGAGAACTCTATTTCATGTAAGCCAAGCATCTAGGTGTCACCCTTGGTAGCGCGCCCAGCGCCAGGAGCTTCAAAAAGAGTCCAGCTTTCTTCGGGGAGCTGGGAGTCACTACAACCATGAGCCTCAGTTCGAAGACAGCAAAGTTCTTATTCTCTCCCTGTCGTCGGACGGTCTATGGATTGAGCTTTACAGCCACTCGACAGGAAGATAGACCTACCGGAGGACTTTGATGCCACCAGGGCTTTTGCAGATAAAATACTGCAGTACTTCGAAAGGGAGATCGGACAGCGAGAAAGACCAGCCATTCTTCGCTTGCCTACCTATCCTACCCTTCACGGCCCCCAACTGATCGCTTAATGCGCCCAAGTGATCAGTACGTATGAGCGCAAGAGGGGAAACAGAAGGCAGTAATATCGACCCAGACCGGAAGTCTCTGGGCAGCGATTGTCACGATTTCTTGAGCCTCCTCACGCGGAAGTTTCGGCGGCGGCGGCGGCAACGATCCGGCACCACATTAGACCGCTAATGGGTATCTTCCTCAAAGATCCTCCAAGCCAAATAACGCGATCCTGGGTTTTACCTCTTCTCTCGGATATCACAAGCTTTACTGCCCTGCAGGGTAATCGCTGTTTCCTCGTTAGAGCCAGTAATCGCAATCTCACCAAGGGTCTTGATGCATAGCAAGAGGCATTGCCGCAAATCGCCTACCTACGTAACGAAGGACGATGAAAGACGGTGCAAGACGATGAAAGCCAATAACCTTTCCAATTTCACCTCCCAAACTCATTATCATGAATGCTATTTGTACAGAGCAACCGAAAGCGCGACCTCTCCTTCATTCATTTCTGGGTATCTATAAAGCAACCTTTCTGTGTTGTCGTAAGACTGGAGTCCCCGTTCGCTTTTCGATACTTAATCAGACTTAAAACGAAAGTCCAACACTGTTGAATGAAGCACATCTAGGTGCCACCATCAACGCCCTTTCCCTTGGAATCTGTTGTCCTAAGCAGATGTCGCAAGCTGCCCTCGGCATGGCTTGTTGAGCCTCCCCCTTTCGCCGACGCTGGACTGATTCCCATCACAGGAGGAAACGACCATGTAGGCATCCAGCCACTTAGACCGCCGAGCAAACTGCCCTGAACTTGGGTCTGCGAGTCCCCTGTATGAAAAGTCCTACTTTTGTGTTCTTCGCTTTGATCTCTCGCGCCTCTGGGATCAATTGGGCCTGTCTCCTCTGGCTCTGTCCGTACTTGGAGGTGATTCATAGACGTTTGTGGCAGCGCAGGCTCGCTTAGCAACGTAGAAGACGAGCTCCGTGGCGTTGCAATGTCATTTATGATCGGGTACTGGCGTGTGCTCTCAATCATGGCTGACGCAAAGGAGGATGACTTCCTCCTCCTGAGACTGACTTCACAAGTGACGCTCTCCAGTCTCGGGCGTTGCTCGGCAGGAGACGCACTTGCCTGGGTTATTTCGACTTTCCGCTCTGCTCGCCCTCGAACCTCTTGGGTGATTTCGCTGGCGGACTTCTTTTTGGACTTGCCATCCTCCGACGAGCCGCTCGACGACATGATGGTCTCCAGGGTGCCCATGGCCATGCTTCTCCGCCGGGCGCCACCACCTCTCCTCTTGTGGAGACGATTCGCTTGCCGTTCGTCATCCGAGGTGACGGCCTGCAGAGTGGGTCCGTTGGTGTGCTGTTGACGTCGTGACGACACCGAGGCCATGAACGCAGCGCCAGATCCATGTGGGGTGACATGCACTTCATATTGGTTGCTGAGGGAATACCGAGATCTGGCACAGATCTCAGCAATGCGGTCCAGGTCAGCGTTGATGCTGGTGTCTTCCTCTGCCTCCATGTTGGCCATCATTTGTTTAAAGCTGTACGCCTCGATGGGCGGCAGCTTGGTCGTCGCATCACGATTGCCTGGGCCCTTCTTCGACTTTGCTCTTGCCATGCTCAGCAGACCATGCTGCTGACCGCTGAGTGGCGACCGAAATGCTATGATACGCCTGACCGAAGCGGCAGGGCCGTTGCCAACCGAGTTGTTTGCGGTGGAGTGAACAGGCTTCCCTCCTGCGATGATGCTGCGCGTGGTGCTCGACTGCCTGCTCTGCGTCTCTGAATAAGTCCGCACGAGCACAGGCTGTGAGTTGGTGCTGCTCTGAGCACCTGTCGACTTCGCGTAACGGCTGCGCGACGGGTAGTTCACGTTGAGTTCTCGGAGGGCCAGAGTGCGGTGGGCGGCTGTGTCGTCGTCGAGTGGAATCGGCTTGCCCTCTGCTGTCGATGGTATGAGAGAGGTCGATGAAGTGTTCGGCTGGAAGAGAGGCGGGAAGGAGAAGGGCAATGAATCGCGTCTTGAATTTTTGGGTTGCCAGGAGATGGATGGCTGCGATGAAGCGACAGATGCGTTCGAGACAAGTTGTGTTGGAGGTCGGTAGCGGCCGTACTGGCCAGACGTAGCAGGCCTTGTCTGGTCCATCGTGATATCTAGCACGTCGTGCGGCGGATGGTGGTTTTTAAGTATAGTGAGGCAGACAGGCTGGCACACGGCACCGTGGCTGGCCACAGGGGCCGGTCTGCGTCGTGCTGCAGATGGGATGTATAGTTTAGACAGCGGCCGGTGGCAGACGCATGGTGCCAAAGGCTGGTTGTGGCCGAGCGTGGGATTCTGATCCACACGGAGGCAGACGAGGCGATCGCGTGCTGGGCAGTGTCGAATCGAGACAAGTCGGATCAGATGTTCGGGCGGTTAGTCTGCTATGTTTCGAGGTGCTCGAGGCACGAAAGTGGAGAGTGGACAGCGAAGAGGAGCAGACGGGACGCAATTCGCAACACCCCGAATTGATTGTACGGGGACGGAATCGCGGTATCTCGCGAGAGGGAGGATTCTGTCGAGGAGGAGAGGAGGAAAAAAGAAGAGCAGTCGCTGGACCGGAGGTTGAGTTGCAGCCGGGCGCAGGAGAGCGCACGACAGTGATAGGCGACTGGCCTAGCCGGACGAGTGCATGCTGCACGTCTGTCGTGGCTGTCGTTCAAAGGGTGGCCCAAGACGAGGGGGCAGTCTGGCGGGGGAGCCTAAGAAGACGCGCCAACCAATCGTCGCTGCGGGGTTGCCGTACTTGCGCGAGCTGCCGAACAGTGCCACACTGTGCTGTTTTGATCATGATCAGCACCTGGTCGGCACCTCCTCGCACTGTCTCCCCTCGCGCCTGCCGTCCCCAGTTCGCCTCCCCTCGCCCTTTTCTTCCACACCCTGTGGTAGCTTTCTCAGCCCCTGTCCGCCAGGTACTTACTGTCTGGGCCCCAAGGGCCCTCCACTTATACGCACCATCCATGGTCGACATTGGGGTCTCAACTCATCGTTGACTCAAACTCCCACTCTCTGGACACATAACATGTGGAACGTCGACGTGGCTCAATTCGGGTCCGTTCCTCGAGCACGAAGGACCAATTCATGACTACCTGTTGTCCGTGTGTGCTGGCTCTCAGTCGCCCCGGAAAGCCGCCGGTTTCAACCTCATGAATTCTTACGCTTATGGCTGCTAATGCTGCATGCTGCTACTGTGGCTCGGCTCCTGCTTGGATCAATAATGACAGCACACATGGCAGCCTGCGTATCGGTAGAATACACCGAAACGTACACGATTTAGCCTCTCACTGTCTACATGCCACCTCTCGTCCTACGCGAACAGCCCGCCACATACAAGCCCTTGTTGTCTATACATGGTGCCCCTGAATACTAGAGTACCATGACAGCCTCCGGGCGATCTACGACACATGGAAAGGTCTCAGATGACAGCACGTGTGCACCGCTACGCACGCCCCAGTTCCGTTCTTCAACCTCAACTGGCCAAGCCACAAGCCAGCAGACACGCGAGCACAAACGTTTCCATTGCGAACGTCCCTGGCAGCGCAGCATCCAGTGTATTGAACCCGATGCTCGGATATCCTTGTCGTCACCTTTTGGCGACTTGCCGGGGCGCGACGCTCCGGTGCATAAAGTAAATTAGACCCATGGAGTTCAAGGCTCTGAAGCTTGAGGCCCTGGCAACGTAGAGCGCGTTTTTCTTACTCACAGATGAAGGGCACGTCTTGGACGCTGCACACTCCATACGAATTCTCCCCTCGTGACCAAAGCAATGTCATGTTCCGATGACCATATTGACCAGACTTGCCACGTTCCTTGGCAGTCTCATATACCTCCAGGCTGAACGGGTTGCCCGTATCTGGACGGTATGGTGGACCCGAACCAATCTTGACATATGAATGTACGGATGAGCTGGCTTTGCACTATCCTGCGCGGCCACTACGAGAAGAAGCACATTATCATTTCACCATTCGAGGGGGGGAAGCGGCTTGGTGATACGGCCTGTCTCTTCGGGTTCGCTGCCTCAAGTGTCTACGACTCGCTGATCTGCTTAATCGTGGAGGGTTTGAGGACTTGGAGGGACCCCTTGTCGCATCATGCGACTCGACCTCTTAAATGTCCAGCCGTTCGATCGTTTCTTTTTCATATACTGCCTCTCCTGATTCGACATGCAAAACTCAATGATTGCTAACCCTACTTCCAAGCACAGGCAGCCTTCAGCCTATTATGTCGGGGTCATTGTCAGGTCATACAGCCGGATATGGGCTAACATGTCCCGTTGTTCAGAGGACCGACAACACCTGGATGTGCATGTATGAGTTAAAGTTGAAACAGTTGGGCTCATTGCGCATCGTTTGATACATTTTGGCGAATCATGCGGCGGCAAGACAAGTGCCCGAGGCTGAAGCCGCTTAGAATTTCGTGAGTGACCACCATCTCCCGTACCTAAGGTAGTCATTGTAACCTGCTGGATCGACCCCCCTCTCTCTTTTGGCCGAAATGCCTTTTCCTTCTCTTTCTGCTTCTCCAGGAAAATATACTGACTTATCTACAGCATCCGAGTGTCCACATATTGGAAAGCAGACGGCCGAAGGAAATTGAAGACGCGAACCCTTGTTGATGTCTTCAGAACAGCAGTGCCTTTCTTAACATGTGCCTCCTCAATCACCGTATTCAAGGCGGGTAGCATGTGCGACGATGAATCGTCTCAATGACTTGCATTGGTAGCTAAGCTTGACTGGCCCTACGAAGACAGGCCTTGGGCTGTACACCCACAAGCATTACCAACCGCTCATCCACCCTCCCCGCCCGCCACGGCAGAGCACACGAGTGTGACACTACCATGTCCTCCTCACTGCACTACGAAGTGTTCTTTCTCATGGAATCACTAAGCGTATTGTGGGATCAGTCATTTCGATGGAGGGGCGCGCTTCTAATAACGTGTGGTGCCGTAGCCGGCACCAGCTCCACTCTGCACCTTGTCGCTATAGATGCCTGGCGCGCGACTTGACGAGATGCGACCTGTAGCAGCCTGTTCACGTCGATCGTAGTAGATATAAAGAACATAGAGTCCATGGATCAAGCCAGGAATGAAACCAAGTATCGTAAGGAAGATGTTGACCACGAGGTCCATACCACAGCCGGCTGTGAGTATTACACCAATGGGCGGCACTGGAAGCTCAGGTCAGCATCAGGACGAAATGTTCAGATATGAACACTCACCGAAGAGCGTTACGAGGACGATGAGAAGAGCTGTGATTCCGCCACCGGCCATTTCTGCGGATGTTTGTGCCTTTTTAATGTTATTTTGTAAGTGATTGCTAGGATGTTGCGGATGCTGCCTTTGGTGTTGAGAGTCGTCGAAGTTGCAGGCTCTCCACGCATCCGCACTTTGGGTTGAGCTCTGGCATCTTAAATGTCTTCAAGAATCTGCCAATACCAGACCACTTGGCTGGCCACTTCAGACGATTGCGCGTCCCGTCTACCTTTAGTCCCGTTTCGTGGCATCGTTCGCAGCCCACACACCTGACATCGTGACGTGGGCGTAGAAAAATTAAGCTCTGTATGACGTAGGTGCAGACGCCCACTCGGGTGTTCGGATTGTGCTATGCTCGGCGCCGCCATCTTCGAGCAGAGCCCTCACACAACGGTCGGCTCCGTCTCGCATTGCGCTGCGTTCGTCTGCCTTATAGGGTGCATCGCGAGTCAGTGCTTTCAATTGACTGCGTGATGGTGCCGAGCGGCTTCGCGGGCTCTGCCGCAAGTCTTCCTCGTTGTCCCACTTGGGCGAATGTCAAGCAACGAAGGCAACATCTCAAGTCGGACTACCCCGTCGGAGAGCTGAAGAACGGCGTGCCGTTCCGAAGGTCAGGTGATGCCTTGTATGTTATATATTTCAGTTCCGAATGAATGGAGACTCTTCGACCAATTACCGGAATTCGTAAAGACCGAGTCGGACGTGACCAGCTACAAACCAGTTACCACATTTACAGAAGGGGCGAATCGCTGACTGAGAAGCAAGCAAGCCTTGAACAGGTAGTCCGTCGTTCAGGTAGACTAAGGGTGCTGGTCTATGTTTCAACCCGCTTTAAAGAGTAATATGTAATATGCTTAGGCGAGCTGCCAAATCTTGAGAATCAAGAAAAACCTCCTGGTGCCTCCGAGTGTACCGGCGGTCGCAAGGTTGCCAGGCCAATCTGTCTGTGTCTTGTTGTGTACACGAACGCTGAACAAATGAGCACCAGCAAGGCAGCCCGGTATCGATAAGCGCTGGAGCAGGCTTGTCAAGTGTAGTGGGCTAGCACGGCCATTATCAACCAGCGAGTGTGTGGTGTCACAGGCAAGGGGTTCTTCCGCGTTTCTGGAAGCATGAGCCCTGTCGGTGACGGACTAACATCCGAGTCTGCTGGATTCGGGTATTGGTCGAGCAAAGTCAGTCAAAGCGTTTTGCAGGTTCAGACAAAACCCCTGAACACTGTCGATATTGCACGGAGAAAATGTCTAGTTCCTCGACAGTTGTTGGTTCGCAAACGGGTGAAATAAGAGACGAATTGTTTGCTTGGAGCAGGTCGGCGGTGTCGCGACGTGCCGTGCCGCGAGGTGACCCAACATGCAACTTGTCCGGGTGCCGGTCCAAACGCTTGCTGACCCGGTGTGTGTTGTGATCCGAACAGGGTACACAGCGGAAGCTGATACATCATTGTGGACTGATATTGTCGGAACGAAATGACGCCTCGCCGACGCTGGAACCTCGAAAGACCAACGTGATGACTTTCACAGGCCTCCAACTCGCGTCAACAACCCTCTAGCATTTCTGCCAGTTGCTTCCAGGCTGAGCCGGAGCTCTGTTGTGAGGGGACCCAACCCATTCCAAACCCATCGCAGACAGTCTTGTCGTCGGTGTTTCGAAACGCCCTGGCCTGCTGCAACAACTGGAGGCCGAAGCAGTCTGTCGTGCATCCCTAACCGATTGAGAAGGCGGCAGCCAATCCTTTCCGTGGGGGTTTGGTCAATCAATTCGAAGTCATACGGCCGCTGGGGTCGCTCACATTAGCTCACGAAGCACTTGCTTGTACCAGCTCTGTCGGCTGAGGCTAGGGAGGGGCCGGGGTGAGATGTAACCATGTATGATGAGGACGCCTCCAACAAAAGTTGGAGGCTGTCTGATTGAGACATGTTAAGGTGGGTAGTCGACGACCCATGACGCCAACTGTCTGAGCACACGGCACTGTGGTCACAAGCCAGATTCAATGAGTTCGATCTGAGGTCATGAATCCACGAAGGTGGTTCGCAGAGGCGGTCTTGTCACCTGATCCGTATCAGTCGTAGGGGTTTACCCAAAGCTGCAAAGCTGTTGTGACAGACACATCCGTAGCCATGTTCCATGTAGAGCAGGCTGTTACATCCTGCGGAACTGATCGGAAGCAAGGCTGTGACAATGAGGAGGCCAACTCGCCAGCTCGCCTGAAAAGGCTGAAGCTTAAGCCGTCACAGTCTGGAGCGTAGGCTCGAGAAAGCCATCGTGGGAACAAGTGGTACCTGGCCTGGGCCCCTTTTTGTCGAGGCGAGTACCTTCAGGCCTCCCGCGCACCGTGCTGGACATGTCGAATCTCGGGATCTAACAAGGCGAGGGATCCTTCGCATCAATTACTGCCCCTGGGCCGGTATGTGCGTACCTAACATAGCGCACGTCGATTTCCTTGACGCACAAAGGAGCACCATCTCTATCTCTGTCACTCTCTCCATCTGATGTCATGTCGAATGGAACCGTTGGCGGTTGGCGTAGGAGGCTTTGGCTTGAGTATCTAGGAGACACGGCAGCCATGCGAAACGGGGTTGGCTTGGTTGATGATGTGGCCTTCTGTGCTGTGGCAGCACGGTTGCATTTCCAATTGCATGGCAAGCATGGATGCGAGCGAGATATGGACGCTAATACCGGGGACGGCTTACCAAGGGGTCCCGGCGGAGACGTCGGCCCCCTGTGGCCTGTGGGAAAGCTTTGGGAGGAGGAGTCAGGGACCCGAGGCGTTGTTTCTCCTTCCGCGGCGCTGGATGCAGGCACCGGGCGCCAGGTTCCCCTCTAGCGCTGCCACCCGCCCAAGGTCCGTCACGGAGGCACACTCGTAGGACAACATGTTTGGGTTGCCGAACCCCGGGAATCGAGGGCCCTCCAGTCCCTTTTTGAACGATTGTCATACCAGAAGATGCCACGAGGTTCATGGTGCGGTCCGTCACTTAATACCCAAGGTAAGGTAGGTGAAGGACACGATGAATCGTTCGTCGACCCGCCCGCTACCTACCTACAACCCAGGCACCGAAGGTCCCTGCCTCCTAGGCCCCGACAGGGCGAGAATGGGGCAGGAGGTGCCTGTGCGTGTCCCTGCCCCTCTGTGTGTCTGCCTTTCGGTGTGGTGGTGCCTGCCTGGACAGGCACTAATTGCCTCCACTGCCACCCCCAATAGGGTTGGGCTCGTAGGTACCTACCTAGGTAAGGTAGGTAGGTAGTCAGGTAGGTAGGTACCTGCCTGTCATCTTGTCACCTCAACTGGCAGTGCCCAGGTACCTCGCCTACCCACACTTACCCTGTCGCTGCCAGTCGTGCCAGTCGGGTCCCATTTCAATGAATAAGGTACTCCACGCCGCGTCGACCACGTCCTATCCCCGTCCTCGTCCCGAAAAAAGGTCAACGAACTCAGGCCAGAGGTACTTTCCCACGCCAACACACCTGTGACTGGACCAGGGCAATTTTGTTTCCAACTCCTGGGCTTCCACTCTGCTGCCTCCATCCTTCCACCTTCGCCTTGCCTCTCTCTCGCTTCTCCTTCCTACCACCTTACCTTCCTTTTCCCGGATTCCATCCCCCACGGCTGCCAACCGCCAGGGAAGAAAAGTACCCGCGCCTCGACTGCATCGACTGACGACCGCGTCAATTCCGTCCTTGCTGCTCTCCGTCCCCTTTCGCGTTGCTTGCTTTGGTCGTGCTCGCATCAAGCTCCGCCTTGCCGCATCAACTCCTGAAGCTACCCTCCGAACTTCATCCGCCAGTATCTCTTTCTCGTGCCTCTCGCCCAAGTCGCCTGAGTCAAGTCTCTCCAACTCAAGCTTCCCGACATACCTTCGTCTTTTTTTTCCTCTCCTCGACAGCAGCGATACCCATCCGAGGCAGCAACACGGCACCCTCTCCTACTTCCCGTGCCTCCGACACCGAGGACCCTTTTTTTCCCACTGTACAGTACAAGCTCCGTCTGACGGCGAACCCAGCCCCGACTACCCAACATGTCTGGATCTCAAGCGGGCTCGCAGCTCAACATTGATCGCTACGTCGTGATCCACGTCGCCACCACCTGCGACGAGCACGGTGTCTATGTCACCAAGGATTCCGCCGAAGTCATTGAGCTTGGATGGATTTTGCTCGATGCTAAGTCCCTGGAGGAAGTAAGCTATCGCCCTCCCCATCCACCCCCTCCCCTTTCTGATGACGTATTTCTAATCACTACCCTACCCAGATCGTCCGTGATAGTGCCCTCGTCAAACCCATCAACACTCCTATCACGCCTCTCTGCAGTATGTCGGCTCCTTCTCTTTTTTTGTGGTTACTGTCGCGGCCACCGTCCTGCCGTCCCGGCAAAGCCGTGCGCCTCGGCCTAAAAACTCGGTCCAATATCTAGGTGCTAACCATCTGCCCACCAGCGAGCCTCACAACCTTGACTTGGGAACATGTTAGGAACGCTGGCACCTTTAGGGATGCTGTCAACCGTTTTGATGCGTTTGCCAATGAGCACTTGACCTCGCAGAACCTTGACTTTGTCTTCGTCACTCTCGATGCTTGGGACCTTCGGGTTCAGCTGCCCCGCGAGGCCCGCGACAAGGCTGTGGTCCTGCCGCCTTACCTTCAGCACTCGCGTACCTTTGATCTCCGTACTGAGTACCAGCGATGGCAGCAGCACCACCCCGAGTCGCTGCCCTTCGGCCCCTCGATGCTCTCCAACATCTGCGCTGCTCTCGAGGTGGAGCCTGTCCAGTCGAGCGCCCCCATCAAGCACAACCTGCCATTCCACCTTCAGGCTTTGGCGCCTGCTTCTCCCCGTCGTGCCATGGAGGAGGCTGTCACTCTTGCCCGGGTTCTTCGTGGCCTAATCCGCAAGTCTCAGCCTGCTCATGAGCACCCCGACGTCCTGACACGTCCCATGGACGCTCGTGCTGATGTTAGAGCCTTCTTGTCCGAGCGTAGCAAGGTCCTCCACATGTCAGGCCTCCCCCACGACACTACCCAGTCGGAGCTTGAGAGCTGGTTCACCCAGTTCGGTGGACGTCCCATCGCCTTCTGGACTCTGCGCACTCCCGAGCAGCACAAGCCCACTGGCAGCGGCTTTGCTGTCTTTTCCTCCCACGAAGAGGTGAGTTTGTTCCATCCCCACCTGGCTGCACCGTGCCAGTCGGATCATGTGCTGACCCGTTCAACAGGCTGCTGAGAGCCTCTGCATGAACGGTCGCGCTCTTAACGAGAAGGCAATCGAAGTGTCACCCTCCTCGAGTCGTGTTTGGACCG